TTTGAATAACAGGGTGTGCCAGGGACTGCTGGGCTGGTCTGCAGCAAGGACTGCAGCTGCCTTGTAGGCCCCCTTTGAGCACTGGGCCCAGCTGGAGGTTTCTCAGCTACAGAGCAGACCAGAGCCCCTGTGCAGGGCCTCCCCACACTGATATGTGAAGCAGAACTGCAGTACGAAAAGGCATAAATGTATGAAATACAGTAACACCTGCAGAGGTGCATAAGGTCCAGGGCGACTGGATGACTTTAACTGCAGCTACAGGAGGTGATAAGAGGGCAGAAAGAGAACGTGAGGGAAGATCAAGGAAAGCTGCAGTTTTCGCTGAAGCCACATACAGAAAATGCTGCCACAGGAAGAGTGTGTTCAGACACTGGGATGTTTAGGAGGATTCACAAGGGCAGGACACTAACTTGCCTAAAACAGCAGTGTTGAAGTACAGAATTAGAAGAGGAAGGAGGAGCAGAGAAGGAAGGGGAGCAATAGTCCAAGTTGTATTAATTTTTTTAAGTCCATCTAGTTTCAGTATAGGCTGAAAAAAACCAAACCAAAACCTCCGGGGGATTCTTCCATCTAATTCAGGCTTTGAAGCAAAAATCTATTTTTCTGTCTTTATCAGATCTGTTTGCTGTCCCACTTCTTTCTCCCATTTTAACATTTATTTGGCTTTGGCAGAGATGATCTATTACTAGTTCTGTATCAGCCCCTTGCTAGTAACTCCATGGAGTCTGAGCTTCCTCCAGTCATCTCGTGCTCCTATTTAAAATATTTTAACTGGAAAGCTTAGATAACTGCATTTCAGAGACTACCATTTTTGCAACAAAATTCCATCTGGCCAACATTAGGTCCACTAACCATGGTTGAACTGAAAAATATTGTTGCCTTCATGTTGAGACTGTACAGCTTCAGTTAAACGTGATTTGGAGTGGGATAACTTGCTACTAATGAGCATCAGCACTGACAGCAGGAAAACTGGCTTTTAAGAATCCAAATTTCAAAGCACACTTATTGGCAGTCTGGTACTCACTTTCTGTTTCTTGGGAAGACTTGAGTGGTTCTCCAAAATCACACTATTCTTTGGAGAAATGGTAGGTTTTTTTGAGTTTTCAAGCTTTGGGAAGGATGTAGATGAGGTACCTGCATGTGGAAAGAAAATTAAAATTATGGGAAACTGAAGACGTTTAATATTACAAAATGCTATTACTGGTCATACTGCTAAATTGAGCTATTTAATGAACAAACAGGTCATAATATCCTTGGGGAAAAACTAAGAGGATATTCACAGCTGAAACAAGGATGAAGCAATGCCTCTGACATCCCCTGAAAGCATAGTGACAAACTGGTGAGAAAAAAGTTTCATCTCTCTGGTTCTCTGTAAGTCGATGAAGGACAAGAAGCCAGGGAGACGAAATATGTATGTGAACCAAATAGGATTGCCACGTCACTCTGCAGAATGAAGAAATGGCCATATTCCTCTCTGCAGTAGGACCTGTGCAGTAAAGGCAGTGCAGACACCCTGCAACTTTCACTTTCCCTTTCTTAGAAAACTTACCACTTACGAGTATGGTGCAGGGAGCAACTCTCCTGCAGACAGCATAAGAGAGGCAGAGGTTTATGTACGCAACTCCAAAGGAGAGCAAAGTCCTTATACTGAGAGAATTTCACCTAAGCTATAAGCTTGTCCTCTTAAACTACAGAGCTTGGTTAACAACCTGTAAGGAATGATGACGAGTTTTTCTCCAGTTCTTCCTGCATTTTAAGGAGTATTCTCTCCTGCTCCAAGGCTTCTATGTACTTGGAATAGGACCAGGAAGCCTGCAAGAACCATTAAAAACCATCAGCCTCCAAGCCATATCACTGGTAGTTCTTGGTCCATTTCAACAGTGAGACAAAAAACTTGTTTATGTTGTAGTCCTGTTATTGAATGATCACAATTATTAAAAAGAGAAGTTTTGTCATGACTGGAATCATGGGAAAAATAGTATTACTGCAAAGAAGTGAATCTCAAAACACCATGAAATGCAACTTAAGCAAGTTTGACAGATATTATGTTTACATTAATATGTTTTCCATCCCTGTTCTGAGTCCTATTCTCTCTCCTTTCATCTTCAAAACCTAAATACAGCAGACCTTTCCCCTCCCAAAATATCAGTCTTTTGTGCTATTGAGGACTTGATTTTATCTCCTGCCACAACATCCCAGTGTGTCCTTTCTCAAATCATCGAAGGTCTCACTAGCCTCACATTTCTTTCTGCCTGCCCTCTCCAGCAGAATGCTCCTAACACTAGAGGCAGATCAACTGAAGACATCGTCCTTTCCTTTTCTAAGCAACAAATGTTTCTCTTTACATTGCAGCAACCACAGTTCAGGTTCCATGTAAATTTTAGGTCACTCTCCCAGATCAGTATGGGAACTGCACTTCTATTTGGCCTTTTTTTACCTTACAGCATGAGAAGTTTGGGGCCAATTTGTCATGTCATGACTCAGTAAGAAGAACTTCTAGCATCTTCCTATAGCAGAAAGGGGCTTGGAGAAGAAACTGCTCTGTAAAAGATTATTGCTCTTTCTGCAATTGCTTCCCTCTTCTTGAGGGCTTAGGCATATGATATTGATACACTGGCTCACTCAAATCACTTGTTTTTTTAAATAGGTATGAGTAAAAGTAAAAAGGTCCATTTACAGGATAAGAGTGTGAGCTTAACTATGCAGTTTGTACTGTGGTTTCAGATTTTGGGGGTATTTCAGACTGCCTGTTTCTATATTCTGCTCATTGCTAAAATAATGCCACGGGAAGAGCTCCATGGAATACAGGCAGTGGCTAAAGTGCAATTTACTCCTGCATCGCATGACATAGCTGTGACTATGTGGTTGCACAGATTCCCCGTTATGTTATGGCAGTGTCAACTCAGCTATGAATGATCCCTTGATATGCCCACGGTGGCATGTCTATTCTTCCTGTTTCTCCAATAAAATGACTGTTACCTTTTCACTACAGATTCACTAAAGAGCTATTTTCTGTCAGATTTTCTATTCAAACACCTAGATTTCCTAAATGAGTTCAGCTCCATTTTTTGACATACGAGCAGAACAGGACTCAATTCTTTCAGGATATGAATTTCAGAAGTAATGAAAAGCTTCTTATTCTAGAATTGATATTCCTTTTCTTAAATTTATGTTTAAATAAAGATTCTATTTAAATCCACACACCTAAAGGGCTTGATATGTTGTTAGATATTAATACTACTCAGAACCTAAATGTTAAAAAGAAAAGAAAGAAAGAAAAAAAATCACCTGTAAGGTGGATAAACTTAGAACAGCAAAGTTAATTGTAGAAGAATGAACAGTTATCAAAGAACCATGAGACAGCAGTATTCAATATCAAACTCCACCTTCCCATTCTCCCAAGATCATTTTATCTCTATTGAATGATGATATCTGTAGCAACATGTTTATTATTCACCTGCCACCCATATCCATTTGAAAATGGTGCTGATCCTCTCTCCACACCAATCTCATCTACCAAAGCACTGCTTGACAAACTGATGAGTTTTGTTCCCGCTTCTTTCCCCTGCCAATAGTAAGAACTCATAATTAGATGTAAACAATAGTTACCAAGCTAAAGTAAAAAGCACAAACTGAGGAAGCAAAAATTGTCATTGGAAATGAGATATTGTCATATGCAGTAATGTTTTATAATGCCTAGTTTCATAATTGGGCATAATAGAAAATATCAGAAGATACTGCTTTTTTAAAGCATTTCTTTGTCCTAATCAAAGTTTCCTGACCTCTATGCTCCTGCAGACTATCTTCCCTTCAGATTCAATACCTGCTCCAAAATATGGCTAAGTGAGAGGGCAGACCTGCAATAGAACATATTTTAAGAACACATTTTAAGGACAGAGAGGCCATTGTGATCCACTAATTTGGCCTCAGTTATAAATGTAGGATATGGGATTTCTCATGATTAGTTCCAGTTTGGTCCAGTAGCTGCGAATGAACTACAGTACACGTTAGGAAAACAGGCAATCTCATTTAAAACATTTACAATGAAGGACAAGGCATTGTAACCCTTGGTTACATCCTAGTGATTAACTCTTTGTCATTTTCATGTTGTTTTAGTGTTTTATTAAGACTGCACCTTTGCACGTTCTGTCTGGTGATCTCAAAATTCTTTATGAACCTTAATCAGTGTTCATATTTAACCTCACATAATTAACCCCACAACATCCCTGTGAGGTGAGTAATATAACCCTCACATGTTGCAAATGAGAAAGTGAGAAAAAAAGTCACTCAGAAAGTCCCTGAAAGATCTGGAAAAGGATCAGATTATCCTACATCCTTTCTCCCAAGGTGTCATTTCTTTCCTTATTATCCCCACTGTCCTGCGGACCCATAATCTATAAGGGTGACTTTGGGGTATAGAACTTCCCAGGCAGTGTGGTGTTTATCTTCTCTCCAGAAGCAGGCTTACTAACTTCTGTGGCATGCTCAATTGATGGAACAGGGATACCACAGCAAATCCAGAAATAGTGTGTATACTAACATACTACAGTTTATGTTTGCTAGCTAGTGAATTAAATGAGGTCTTTAATAGTGTCTTCTGATAATAAATTAGGCAACATTATGGCAATGTCATATCCCATGGCATTATACTACTTACTAACAAATAAGCTTACTGCTAAGAAGCTTAAAAAGAGATGATGGAAACATGGAAAAGGAAAATTAATGCTTTTGGGTTTACCTTTATTTGCTAAGGGCATGGAAAGAGTAAGTACAGACTTACAGTGTAGTTAAAACTATTTTGTACACTTGAAAGCAAAAAATCCAAAATCTGTTTTGGAGGTAAAATGCAATTGTATATGCAACGTATTACAAATGCTGGCATCAAAGCAGCCTGCAAAAAGTGACTAATGATATTTTTAAAGTATGTGGCATGTGCATCTAGCAGTTAACAAAGGAACAGATCCACAGACGGGCCAAAGATGAGCCCGTATAACTGTGCCACACTAAGGGCAAATATGTGAAAACAGACAAGCAAACCACACTCTCCCAAGGCAATCTATTTTAAAACAACTATTTCAGCTCAATACTGAAGCAATCAATTACATTGAATGTTCAAGCTTACTTCACCCTGTACCTACCCATCCCTGCCTTCCAGACACTAAGCTTAAAAGAGGTCTCTGCATTTTACAGTGCTTGCATGGCATCCCTCGCTGTCAGCCACTCCTCCCCAGCACTGAGTTCATTGCCAGGAAGCCTTCGATAGGATTTGCCCCATAAATAACAAATAGGCACACACAAAAAATATTGAGATAGTCAAATAATACCAAGTCATGAATCATTGTCCAGTTGAAAACCTCCTCGTCTGCCCATTTTTTACAGTCTACTAAATAAAAGTTCAACTCTTATCCAGTCAGTTCAGAACTTGAGGTAAGCCCAGGTAGATTGGGCACCCCAGGGACAAATTTGTGAGGAAGGAGAAAGTAAAATTCCTCCTCCAGGACCATGATTGTTCCGTTTGACATAAACCGAAAATGGTAACTGATTTGTGGGGGCAGGGGGGAAATATACATAAGAAAAAAACCATTGTTTCTAACCCTTGCCAGAGCTTTCCTCTCCTTCAACGTGAGCCTGGTGGGGCAGAGGAGCATAAACATTATTTTAAATGCCAAGAAATCATCAGCTTCTACAAGCTGCCAAGTGAACCTACTATCGCTTATGTTAGATGAACCTTATCAGTATCCTTCAAGGATACTGAATCATTTGAAAAGTTATGTTGTCACTGAGGAGACAGAAATCTCAGGCAAGAGAACAGGGAATGGCAAATTCTTTAAACAATAATAGAAAGGGAAAAGAGTTTCAAAAACTTATCTGTTGCACCTATTCTCTCAAGAAATTTGGAAAGGTAACTGGTTTACTGATAAATTTTTGTGAGAAGAATAGCCTGCAAACTGTTTACTGAACTGCATTCTCTGCCTGTCACTTTCTAAAATTTCTTACCCTATTTCCCAGCTTAGAAGGGTAATTCACCTTTCCCATTTGTTCTCCATAAAAACTAGGCTTTTGCCCTCCTGGCCAAGATTTGCTCTTTACTTCCTTGATCTTAATCAGAATTCTTATAGACAGGCAACAAACAGATGGAAAAAATAAGTCTGTGAAAACGCAAAAGTGCATTACTTTGAAATATTGCATTCTTGCACTATAATTATTGCCAATGGTCTTGCCAGACATATCTGTATGGAGACTACGTGCTTTGGAGAAAGGAACATGAGTTCTTGGATTTTAGACTTGACATTGGTGTGTGGCCTTGAGTAATGCTTCACTGGTCCTCAGTTTTCATGTGTCTGAAAGAGGGTAACAATGTGTACATGTTCTTACAGGCATATATGTCTTTAACTGTCCAGGTACTCATGTGGTTCTCATCACAAGTAACATCTCAACACATGTGTACATGGTATTTAAAATATGTAAAGGTCTTTTAATGCTACTTATGATAGTTTGCAAGTCTAATAATTTCTCTGCCCTTAAAGGAATGTTCTCTCCTAAAGCTGGCCAAACAATTACATTTTGTAAAAAATAAACTTTTGCAAAGCCTATAATCAATAGAAAAAAAAAATCCATTACATTTTAATAATAAAATTCCAAGAAAAACAATTTTACAAGCAAGCATTCCGTTCTAGAGGTCACAGTTCTGTTAATGCACTGAAGCTGTCTGGAAACTCATTGTGAACGATCTAACAATTTTACTGTCAAAGCTGAGAAATATTCAAGAAAAGACAAAGATTATACAAAGCAATTAGCACATAAATATTTTTTAAAATAATGTGCAGACTTTTCAAACGCTCCTTCTGAAAAACAGATATGAAATCTGGTTTGGTTTTGTTTTGCTTTGCTTTCAATAGTGACCCAGAACTGTAAATTCTAAAATAGGACACAGTACATACTGAAATTGCAAAGAGATCTGCAGTTACCCAATGTACACATGGACCGTACAGAGATTTATTTTTTTTTAATTCAGCCCTATTTTTCGCTCTACTTTTGGCACAAAAGGTTACTAAAATACATTTTCTTCTCTGCCTAATGAAAGGAATATTCCATTGACTCATCTGCTTCAAGATGAACATATGTATATGCATCAACAGGATTGGGAACTAATTGCCCTAGGACCAGGTCGCATGTAAAGCTTGAATTCTAACAAAAATATTTCGGTAGTTTTGGATCAGGCCGAGAAAGGGATATTTGAATCCATGTATGTCTGCTCATGAAGGAGTTTTTAGGCAGTTCATCAGCTGTCGCCTGAAACTTTGTAAGCCTTACCTCTGCTGTTTTGCCTTCGCTCTTTCGCATCTTTTTTTCCTTTTTTCTCTCCAAGGCAAGTAGAATTTTGTCACTAGCCAAATTGCTTCGAAACTTACAAAATTTTGGCCAAAATTTAAACAGAAGAGCAAAAATAGTAATCTGTGCAGAAAGAAAAGAAAGTCAATCTTGACTGTATTAAGAAAACAGACTTTACTGTAAAATAAAATGTAGTTTGCCATGAGAATGAAATAACTATTTCTTTTTGAATACAAAGCCTTGTTCCTCCCACGTACTGTGTCCTGACATTTCAGCCCAGATTTGCTCGGCACATGCTTTTCATCAGTGTGTTTATTACTGGTGAGAAATCTTCCTTAAAACACAGTTAAAAGGCACTTTCTTTTTTTATATTTCCCTAAACAATTGTTTGCATTAATGAAAACATCCATCATTTTTTACAAGTATTCTTGATAAAATATACACCAGTAGAATTGCTTTTGCACCAGTCTTCTGCTCAAGCATTTCAAATATTCAGTTCATTAGGGAGAGGGGGTTTTTTCCCCTCCTTAAGAGAAAGGAAATACTTTTTTGCCTCTGGAAAGACTCTTAAACCACATTACAGATCTATGAGCAAATCTTGGATAATTTTAAAATGATATAATCTCTCACAGGGTCTTTTTTGAACTAGAATAAGGAAAACAATTTTAGAAAAGCAAACAGAGGGGCTCAGTGAATTCTGTTGCTGCACGTACTAAGGCTCACATTTTTCAACTTATTTAGATGTTTAATTCTCATTGAGAAACTTGGCTTCAAAGGAGCCGAGCATGCTCAGCACCTCACTGCTTCTGGCTCAACAGACTTGAAAGTGACATGTGGCTCACTGTCATGTGCCAGTCACAGCTTTTTGGCCAAGTTCTTCCCTTGGTTTTGTGCCACATTTCTGGAGTTCACTGGATATAAAAATACAGGCTGAAATGAGACTTCTTATTTCTCTTAGGACATATATGAACCCTTTTCTCTGACAAACCATTCATCTTTCTTAATCCAAACACTTTATGGACTCAAAGTTGAAGTTTAAATGTGTTGGTGGCAATTTTATAGGAAAAGAAGAGGAACTACCTTTCTTGGGTTTAGAAGATAAGTCAGAGAAGACAGTAATGAGGAATAAGATAATAGTAAGTCTGTAGTAAAGATTCACAAATTGCTGTTCAGTCTGATTAGTACAAAGATCAGAGAGAAAATTGTCTACAGCCATTTAATACAGGCTTTCTGTAACAAAGAAGGGAAAAACATCCAATAAGTTAAGCTTTGTGCTTTACTCGCATCTGCATTTTTTTTCCATAAACTGCAAAAACTACAGACTTTCTAACTACAAATTACTTCTCTGACATTAACCAAGTGGTAAAGAGCAAGCAACTAAAAACACAGACAGAATTAATTTCTGCTGCCAGAGTTCCTGACACAGACCTGGATTACACCTTTCCAGGATCAGCTAGCTGTCAGAGATTGTCCAGTGTATTGAGCAGTAAATATCTGAAGCCTCTTCTTCATCTCCATCATGCAATCTTTATTGAAATGCATGACTATAGTGTTCTCCTTTATGCCCAGGCTTATGTATGGAGTCCAAATTGTCACATAAGCAACAAAGACTGTCCTTAAAATCAGGCACACAGACTCTAGCCAGATCTGTTACAGAGATTGTCCCAGCTTCTTACCTGTGCTTCTCTAAAAATGTAAGGTCCTAGTTCTTTCCTGCGCTCCAGAATCTTCTTTGCTTGTTCAGTTGGGATGTCAATCTGCAAAGCTGGGGGTACAGCAGAATTAATAAAGCAGTCAATAATAGCTGTGATCTTCTTCTGGACCGTGGCATCATCACAATGAGAATGGCACAAGTCCTGAAAGACGAAAAATGGCATTTTCAGTCAATGGAGAGAGAGACGCAAGACCCTGTACAGGGGCCCAGTGATCAAAGAGTAATAGTCACGCAAAAATAATTATACAATAGATTCCTTCAGTATGTAGGACAAAATTCTTGTAGAAAATATGCATTGTCAAAGACATAGTTAAGACATGAGTGGGACTTCTGGTTTGCAAATGCAGATATATAGCAATCATTGCTTTTATATGACAATCTCTGCCTGCATATTCTGATGGAACAGGGTAGTTTTTATCCTGCATTCAGTCTAAGTACATTACTGGCAAATAGGAGGCATTTCTGAAAAGAAGAACACACCTACAGGTGTGAAATGCACTGATTTTCACAATGAACCAGCTATGACTAGCATAACCATGGTACCTAAAAGACAAAGAAATGCTCTAATTACTCCACGAAAAGATGGGAATTATTTAGAGGGTACAAGGTATTATAACCAGGGACATTGGCACAAGAGGGGACAATTTCAGCTACCAGTACAATCTTCCATTCATTTAAATCTTCTATCACCGTTTATTAAGATTTTCTAGTTTCTCAAAACCTCAGTGTTTGAAATAACTCTATGCAGAACAGAATACAAACCAAACCTGAACTTACAAGGGTGATATCTCAAAGGAACATTGGTGATTTCCACTTTTTTTAATGTGATCCTATTGTTCTTGTAAAACCTGTTATCACTCTGTTTTCACACTCTGACAATGGTACCATTGGACTTTGATAGGAAGGAAAAATAAATCAAAGAACTTCCTTCAAACACTTTGAAACACAAACTTTCCATCTATCCATAAACATAAAGTAATTTCTCTAACACTAAGAGATTATCACATATATCTACTAGAGACACAATGAGCACTCTAGAGAATTTTCAGGAAGAGAGCTCTCTAAATGAAGAATGTGCATTTAGTTTTCTTATAGGAGGCTGAATATTTACTTTGCAAAGAAATTAAAAACAGGGCTTTTAACCAGAAATGTGGTATGTTCAAGAGCTGGCTTGTTTTATTATGAATACTTCTTAGTTTTGTGAAGGAAAAAAAGAATGATAATGGCTACAATGAAGAAAGTAAGGCAATACAAAAACATATTCAATATATACTAAGAATATATTATGGCTTCCTTTGCTCATCTAGCATAGAAGAAAAGGCAGAGAGCTGTAGTAAGAGGGAAGACAAACAAGCCATATGATAAGAAGAGAAACGAGACATAAGCATAGAGGAACAGATGGAAATGATCCACAGAGTTATATTTCTTCATATTTGTTTAAAAAAAAAAGAAAAAAAAAAAAGTTTTTTGATTGTCCCAAGATATGCTGCCAGTCTGATGGGTTACGAGGAGCAATGCAGTCATTGACTCCTAAAGGGATTTCTGTCTAAACTGATGGCATGATAGGGCTCAGACAATACAAGTATGCACTGTGCAAAGTGCTGCCTACATCTTTGGCAATATTCCTCCAGTTCAGCCTGACCCACAACACTCCTACTACTCTAGCCCTTTGCTGCTATAAAGAGCATCAACTGCCAACCATGACAAATTGCATGCATGTAGAAATATGGTCAGATTGTACTTTTTCTTGATAAAAAGACAAATAAAATTAACCTAAATTAAGGAGAAGAGATGGGACAAAAAACAATGAAGGCTTTCTTCAGAGAGCAGATCTAAAACAGTCTAAACTACACTCCATGTTAATTTGCAGAAAGTTTCCATGTCCTCCACAATGTAGTAATGAGAGTCACAAATCTGAAAAAACAGCAAATATTTTGAGAAGGATTTATGTCATGGAACTTCAGGTGCATTCCTGTCAAGTTTCTAGTCTAAGCTAGTCACTCTGTAACCGAGAGAGAGAAAGCAGCACCCCTAGAGAGCATTTCAGCTGATGATTCCTTGCTTGGGGATCAGAGACTCTGTGAGGAAGGGAGATTGCCCTCTGGAAACTGAAGGAGCTCCTCTGAAGGATCTTCAGCTTCAAAAGAAAACCCCAAAATCAAATGTGCAAAATTAAACAGTGAAAATACACCCACAAGCCTGCAGCAGGATGTCCAAGTGCTACTGCAGCATCAACTGTGTTTAACTCCAAATTTCTGAGCGTGTTAGCTAACCTCATACTCCCCGCCTGCCGTGTGCACATAGGCTATGTTCAGGAGCCCAGGAGAGGCTCTGCACTCCAGTAGCACTTCTGCATCAGCAATATTCCAGAGGCAAAATCAATGAGGAACAAGTGAAAGATCTGTGGTGCCCCTGCATTCAGTCCAGGGTGCTGCTAGGAGGCTGCAGTGTGATTTAAAGGCTCACTCCAGAGGTTTCCAATTGTGTTTCACCTCACATAGCAGCAGTTTCATAAAGGGTCGTGTACTTGGGAAAGAGGCAATCCCTGCTGACCTTCCCCATCATGTTTCACCTTGGCCACATCCTCACCTGCAGTCAAATGTGACTGTACAGAGTGCAAGGGAACTGGGGTCTGTGTTGTACATATAGGCTTTTTGGGTAGGTACAATCTTTACATCTGTATGTTTGATTGAATTTAAAAGTTTTCTCTGATTTTTGAGGGATTACCAAATTCAGCAATAAGCCTATTATTTAACAGTATGTAAGTATAAAGACAGAATGAACATTTTAATAGTTGCATATTTTCTACTGCTCAACAGATGTATATGAAAATCTGGGCATTAGCTAGTTCATAGTCTCCCTTTAGAGACTTAGAAGAATGTTGCTGTTTGAAGAAGCATAAAGAAATACAGGGATAATAGATTAGTCATTAAAAATAGCTAACCTTAAGAAGTGAGGATTTTCATCGAAGAAAAAACAGTTTAAACAGTGAAAGAGGTTTTACTATGAACAAGAAAATGCCTATTCTGTTAAAATTCTCCTAATATGCAATAATAGAGATGTGTTTGCTTATGAATTGAATGATATTGCCCTTGCTCCATTTTACCACCGTACCTTATACTTCTGTACCTCTTGCCAAAAGAGCACTCCATTCTCCAGTAGGTCTCCTTTCAATGACACAAAGTGTTGAAACTGATTTGCTGTCACTGGATCCAACAGCGCTTTGCGGAAAGCAATTATTTCACTAGATGAAGAAACCCACTTATTGTCCACATGCTGTCAAAAGAAGAAATAAATGCACCAAATAAACTTTGTTTCAAAAAGCAATAACAAAAGCATTAGTTAGCATAAACTGTCTGATTCTTATCTTTGCACTGACCCTAACTTTCAGTAGTTTATGAGTTTATGACATGGATACAATAGAATGTGGCAAGGTTTCATTTCTTTCTTTCCTCCTTTTTTCTTTTTCTTTTTTTTCCAGTTTGGTTTAGGCAACATTTTTTGGAAGATGTGATGGGAGAGGAAATGACTGACAATGATTTAGACCATATGACTACATACTATAAAGTATGGAAACAGCTATTGTTATTGATTATGGCAACAGGCTACTTTTCTACAGAACAGTTTGAGTTTTGTGCAAACAAACAACAAAGAAAAAGGAACAGACAAACCACATAGCTTAAAGTTGTAAAATGCTTCTGACAGGGATCTCACCAACAAAATGAGCTTTGAAATATGTTGCCATGATCACCAACAGAAGCTGGGGAGTTTGCTCTCTGTGGAATAAAGCTACCAATAGTAAAATAGGATTTAAAATCATTGAGACATTTTGGAAATCCTCACGCTGCAAAGCACAGAGCAGTAG